TGAATTATTAAAATGAATCCAACCCCTGTTGCGCATCCTTTGGATAACCCTCTTAAAGGGGAGGCAATTTTCGATAGCATGTCCCGAAACACTACCATGATATTCACAGTGCGCATTTTTGTCATACCACCTGGGGTATGGGGGCTTTAGAGGTGTCTCGGGATAGGGTGACACCACATGTGCGTCAAACAGTTGTTGGTAGAGCTCCTTGTATGTCATGGGAATGGGATCAAAATGCTCTTTTTCCTTTCTTTGTTTTTGCCTACAAAAGGGTACGACTGGAAACGACTTTGAAATGTTGATGATCTCTCTTTCTTTCTTCTTCAGGGGAGGCTTTCCACCCGTTCTACCTCCTGGGTTAATGGTAATTTCTACCCTCGTTGTTTTGACCTCTTCTTCAAATTTCGGAATGCGATAACTATCCGAATTATCTTGAAGTCCTGGTAAGATTCTGGGCGAGACAACCACTTGCGGGGTAAGTGGCATGGTTACCCCTTCCGATGAGCCTGCCCCAGGCACACTTGTATGACGTAAGCCAACTAACTTGGCAACGATCTGATCGATCAAGGACTCTTGGCCTTTCGTGATTGCATCTAGGGTACTCTGGCTATTCTGATTTATCTTTTCTTCTAACTCTCTCTGGAGCTTCAACATGTTCTCCTCGATTTGTGTAATTCTGGCTTCCATCATCTTCTTCTTCAAACGAGTGTTATGCAGATGGGGTGTGTCCAACGCTTGAGGCGGTGTATCCAGTATTTGCTCCTTTTGATGAGACATGTATATGTTAGTTAATGTGAATGCAAAGAAAAATGACAAAATGCAACATATGTTTAGATGCATAATGCATGCAATGTTCGAGGCATTGATCCAAAAAATGTGTCTGTTACTAGAAATAATCCTTATTGGGGACAAAAGTGTTTTATCTTTTAAGAGACAAAAAATATTCTGACAGCTTCTAACATGTTGACTAGTCTTCTGCCTTCATCCGTCATCAGTTGAATAACCTGTCGAACCGCTCTGGCTTCTCTGGATGAACCGTGCAAATGACGAGTTGTTTGCCCTAAAAAAAAGTATTAAAGGACTGTACCTCTGGCATTTATCTTTTGTCGAGCCTGTTCCCAACGAATACGTCATTGGAGCCCTTAATTGATAGGAACTATGTTAAGTCCATTTGTCTGTTTCTTGAATTCGTCAGTAATGGTCTCCCATTTCAGTTATCATTTTGCCATTGTCGTCTTTGAAGTGACTCCTAAGATCAGTGGTCTTAATCTTGCCCCTGCAACTTCTACCAGTCAGTTCTTCAAAGATAGACTTTCATTGTGCTTGATGTAGACCCGATTCATTGACTCATTTATAATGCAGTATAGTGATATACTCTTCAATCGCGGGCACCACGTCTTCTGGATTAAACGTGACACATAGTCTCCTTGTAGACTATCCTCTGCATTTTCATCTCTTGTATTACAACCCCTTTGTCCATTAATGCAGATTATTCATGTTTAGCAAACACGTTTTTGGTGGATCAACACCTCTTTTAAATGATGCAAGGGATGAAAATAAAGTGAAAGAGAAAAAAAGTTAGTGAGGTAAAAATAATCATGAAAAATAAAAGTCCTACCCCACATGATATCTACCCGAACATGCTTAATATTCCTACTCGGACATGATTTCTATCCCGTATGCTAATTTCAAACAAATCCTAACCGCATATTTGTCTAGTTCGTATGCTTTGAACATAAAATAATGCAGGAAACGAAACAGCCTAGGGTTTGGAATGAGCTTTTGGGGTGGGCTCTAATTCCCTGTACTCTCCCGGTTTAGGTTCTTAAAAAAAGGTACTCGAGTTCTCCTTGCCGGTGCCCCCTTGGGCTTGCCAGACCCTTATTCCTAAACCCATCACAGGCTTGTGTGGACTAAGTTAAACTCGAGAGGACACATTCCCTTAGGTCTGTGCGGTGAATAAATTCACACGAAGACATAAGGTATATGAATCCCGAAGGCTACTTGCTAGGCCTGTGCGGTGAATAAATTCACACGAAGGCGTCGCTTTCACCTCCACTTAAATAGGGTTCAGAGCTCGGGTTTAGAGCTTAGAGATGACAATTTTGAAAAAAAATATGAAATCATTAAAAAACGTCAGTACAACTATTTATTTGAAAAATAATCAAAGATAAATAATTGGAATCGAATAAATAAATTAAAATTAAAATTTACCATTTTCGCATAAAAAGACAACCGAAAATTAATTTCGGCCTGACTCACTTACCTGTCCCCAGCAGAGTCGCCAAGCTGTCGGAACCGTCTTTCGGTTGGACCCGGAATTGGGCTTCGACTTGAATAATTGGGTTAGAGTCGCCACCGACCAGTTTAAAATGAATTTAGGTGGGTCGGACACCATCTTACCGGATCTGCGTTGTACCAAAAATGTGTCGGGTTCGGGAGTCGGTTACGGTCAAGGAAGGATTAGCACCCTTGAACCGCCCTTTCGGTACCAATTAATTTAGCGGTTGTCTTTAGTTGAGAAAATTTGAAATTTAAATTAAAATTTAAACTACCCGATTCAAATTGCTTACCTTTGATCGATTAAAATTACCATTGAAAATGTCAAAAAATGTTAGGGGGTAAAATAATAATTAAATATCAAATAGATAAATAAAAAAAAACAAAACAATAGAAGAATAAGAAATAAAAAAACGGAATTGAATATAAAAAGGTTTTAAGAAATAAAAAAAAAATGGATGTTAATTAGTGACCAAAATAAAACCTGCATAAAATCTTGGGCTAAATTCAAAAATATATAACTTGGGGACTAAAATATAAGCATAATAAATTAAAATTCCAAATTAAAATACTAAAAAATGAAATTCAGTGACCAAAGTACAAATATGATAAAATATGATGGCCGAGGACCGAGTTTACCCCTCACGAAATTACACTGAAGTCCCTCCTTGCAAAACGACGTAGTTTTGCTATCGTTATATATGCCCGTTTCCAAGGCCAAAATGACCCAACCTTGGCCATTTCTCACTTTGCTCTCTCTCTCCTCAACGAGAGAACCATCTGTTCTCTCGCCTCTCTCTAACCCGGCCAAGATTCGGCCGCCACCACCGATGGTCAACCGCCACGCCGGCCACCATGCCGGCTACCGCCGGCGGTGGCCGGAAAAACCACTTAGCCCGAAACACTCACCTTGTCACTCTAAACCCTGATCCGAAGCCCATTTCCCCTAAAGGGACCCCAAACGGCGTAGATCTACGCCTAAAGTTCGGGTCTTTTACCTTAAAACCGATGCCCTTTGGTTTTCCGATAGCTTCTCCGAGGCCTTTGGTTGGTACTTCGGTTTTGTGTATTTGGTTGTGTTCGACCTTTGTTGTTGGTCGATTTGTTTACTGTTTTTGTGGGTTCTCGATTGTTGGTATTTTGGTGGTTTTTGTGTTGATGGTCTTTGTGATGTTATCGGTCCTTGGTTTCCCGTGGCCGATGTTCTCTCGGTTCTGTGATTCTCGATGGTTGGTTTGTGATGGCTCTGTGTGTGGTGTTCTCGATGGGTTATCCATGTTCTGTGGTTGATGGTACGGTGGGTTTGAGCCCTCAGCTTACTGTGATCCTCCCCCCTTGGCAGTGGCTTGGTGGGGGTCTTTATACCCCACCAGTGGCCTGTTAGTTCTGAAATAGGGGCGATCGTGGTTGTTGTGACCGGTCACCCCGGGATAGGTCAGTCCCGGGGATCTCAGCCGGAAATCTCGCGCCGTCTGTGACTGTTGGTGTGACTTCTGGAATATTCCTTGATTTGATCTCGACCGTTGGATTGGGTCAGATCCAACGGTCCAGATCTGGCTGCACAAATGAGGTCTTAGGGTTTTCCCCTATACGCCGCCTGTGTTAAATGTGTAAACCCTATCTCCTTTGGATGTTGGCTACGGGCTGATTCAGGCCCAATTTGGACTGTTGCTGGACCAAAACAATTGACCTAAAAAACAAAAAAAAAAATTAAATAATTAAATAAAAACGAGTGAATAATAATAAATAAAAACAATAAATAAAAACTATATAATATATATTTTAAAACTGTTTCTTTTTTAAAAACTATATACTATATATAAATTTTCAAAAATGTTTTTCAAAAAACTAATAATTTTTAAAAATGTTCTTTTAAAAATTATATATATTTTTTTTAAAAATGTTTTTAAAAAATTATATATTATATATAAGTTTTCAAAAATGCTCTAAAAATTATATATTATATGTTTTCAAAATGTTTTTCAAAAATTATATATTATATATTTTTTAAAAATGTTTTGAAAATATATATAATATATAGTTTTTAAAAGTGTTTTAAAAACCATATATTATATACGTATTTTCAAACCGCTTGCAAATTATATAGTATATAGAAATATCCGGAAAAAAATGAACGAAAATTAGTGTCTACAATCATGATTTTAAAGAAATTATATAAAATAACTGAGAGATCAAAATATAGTAAATGATAATGATAATTTGAAAATTGGTATAAAATAATTTAAAGTTTATGAACTAATTTAAAATAGAGTTCATAGTTTATGGACCTCAAGTATAGTTATATCATATTTATAAATCTAAAAGGCTTAAACTGAAAATAAATCCTTAAATTATATTCTTTTACTTTAAATCCTCAAATTATTTTTTGGTAAAAATAAATACTTAAACTATTATATATAATTACCTTAAGTTCTTAAATTATTTTTTTATCAAAATAAACCCTTAAATTGTGCCTTTTTTGTTTTAAGTCTCTAAATTATTTTTTGTCAATACAAATACTTAGTTTATGTCAACATCTTATTGGTTAGGAAAAAAATTTCTAACTAAAAAATATTATAAGACTTAAATGATTATATATTTATATAATAATTTAAAAAAAATAGTTTAGGGACTTAAAACAAGAACACATATTTTGGAGGTTTATTTTTCTTTAAGCCAATTTACAACCCAAAACGCATCGGTTCAGATTTCTTGGAGCCTATGGTAAGCTTTTTCTTAGGATTTTCCATATAGCCCAAACCGAAAGATTCGTCGCCTAGACGAGTTGTTCTTGGAGTCTATAAACTTCGAAATGGATAGGAGGAGCAAAAAATTAAAGAACCCAGAATCAGAAAAACCACAAAACGGTGAGAAAAAGAACAACAAAGTGATGGAAATTGAAGGATACCGAGTAGAAGGCTTGTCAATAGGAGGGCATGAAACTTGCATTATTTTCCCTGCTCTTAACTTAGCATTCGATATCGGTCGGTGCCCGCAACGTGCCCTTTCTCAAGACTTTCTCTTTATCTCCCATGGCCATATGGATCATATCGTTAGTGCTTTCCTTTATCTTTCTGTTTTTGCTCTTCTTCTGCTCTTGCTTTTGGTAGTCTAGCTCTTGGTTTGCCCCTTTTTCTTTTAATTCTTGGATGCTGAATGAATAATTCTACACAAAATTAGGTGATTACACTTGAATGCACAAAGCTTTTTTTTATTGTTTTACGGATGAAGGTAGAATTTCAAGGTCTCTTCATATTAATCTCTGTTTTTAGGTGCTTTTGATTGTTTTAAGTTTGAAGAAATTCAATTTTAACAGAAGGGAAAATGTGTAGCTGTTTCCAAGTTTCATTTTCTTAATGTGCCATTTTCTTCAAGTTGATTCCTATGATACTTTCCGTTTGTTTTGAATACATTCATCAATATATATTTAAATTGCGGTTGCCGTGGCATTTTTTGGTTGCGCTGTGTTTAAGCATTGCTGTGATTGCGGGTAGCGCGGATTCGCGTTCATGCAATAATGGTTTTGGACGGCACTGCTACTGCTATATAACAGGCGCAAATGCAGTAGTGGACTGCTACTTAAATCCCTGTTCAACACCATTTATAAGAACCACCTATTGATTGTGAAACATGAATATATAAATGGTGATTAAAGTTGTATTGGCAAGTAATGGACTGGAAAATAATCAAAGGGATTGTAATCCAATAAGTTTGGGTACAAATCAAGTTCATTTACCGTCTATTTGTTTGACAGGGTGGCCTGCCAATGTATGTCGCAACCCGGGGTTTATATGGCATGAAGCCTCCAACTATCATTGTACCTTCTTGCATAAAAGAAGATGTTGATAAACTCTTCGAGGTCCATAGAAAGATGGATCAATCAGAGCTTAAGCATAGTTTAATCAGCTTGGATGTGGGTAATGTGCAAGTATTTAACTTTTATCAAATCACTTACCTCTGCATATATTTTCTTGTCTGTTACATATCATATATATTTTCAGGAGAGGAGTTCTTCTTGAGAAGGGATCTAAAAGTAAGAGCTTTTAGAACTTATCATGTCATACCAAGCCAGGTGAATAAATCCAGATCTAATGTTTATTTTTCCTTTTTTCCGGCTTTCAGCTTGAATTTAATTTTAACGTTTGATAGTGTAATTGTTGCAGGGTTATATAGTTTACTCCGTAAAACAAAAACTTAAAGAAGAGTACTTGGGCCTTTCTGGAAATGAGATCAAGAACATGAAGTCATCAGGTGTGGAGGTCTGTCTTGATTATCTTGGTTAGGACCTACTTAAAATACCACAGATGGTTACAAATTTTGAGAATTTCATTTTACAATTCGGAGTACGTTGCATCTCTGGAACTTTATAGTTCACATGTGATAATAATTGGTAAAATCACCTAAGGGGTTTCCTTCAAAGGTTTTTAATTATTTGTGTTTTCATTTTCTTCTCATGTTGATACTCATTATATTTAGATAAAAAGCTCTCCATACTTTTACCTTCATATTAGTTGTACTTAATCATCCTATAGATCTTGTGTGTAACTTGGTTGAATTCATGCCTGGACAGATCACTTATACTACTAATGCACCAGAAGTTGCTTTTACCGGAGATACTAAGTCGGATTTTATAGTTGATGAAGCTAATTTAGATGTTTTGCGGGCAAAGATTCTTGTCATTGAGGTGCATTTTACTCTATTTTTTTCATTTTGCTATCTTTATTTTAGGAATGCCAGTTTGCATTATTATTATAAATATTTGAGATGAACCGATTGGATGCTTTACTATTATCCTGATGAGGTTCTGAGACATAGATTATCCCAAATCTCCTTGATAGCCATTGGATACTCGAACTTAGATTTCTATCGGAAACCTGCTCTCATAAAAGCATAATTGAATTGTGCTATTGATAAATGGTAAGATTAGGCTGCAAATTTCTCTCGGTTATGCAGCTCATGTTACTAATTTGAATGGTATCCTGTTCAGCGTCATGTGTTTATTAATTGGTTGTAGAATTTTAGTTTGCCTTTTCGAATAGGGTAAAGTTCACAAATGGTTCCCCGACTATAGGACCATGCTTTGTTGAGTCCCCCAACTATTAAAAGTTACAAAATGGTCCCCCAAGTATAGGGTGTTGTTTTGTTGAGTCTCCCGACTATTAAAAATTACAAAATGGTCACCCGGCGATTCTTATGTTATAAACTCGTCCTTTTCTGTTAAAGACGATAGTCTAAGCTGGACATTAACCTGCTGATTGGGATATGATAAAATTTGATCTCAGAATCTCAAACAATTATCATATCCCAGTCAGCATGTTAACGTCCAACTTAGACGACTATTAATTTTTAACGGGAAATGATGAGTTTAGAATATATGACTTTTAATATTCGAGAGACTCAACAAAGAAACCTCCTATAGTCGGAGGATCATTGTGTAATTTTTAATAGTCGGGAGACTCAACAAAGTAGCGCCCTATAGCAGGGGACAATTTGTGTACTTTACCCTTTAGAATATTGGATTGTTCAATCATTTTCATCCCTTTTGTTGGACGTGCTGATATGCTATGGTGGTGTAGAAGTATTTTTTAGGAGTTAATCAAACCCCCTCATCCCCAACCCCTCGGTAAGATAGTCAACATAAAAGGCCTAGGATTTATGTATTAGACTATTAATTATAGACAACTGAGAATCTGTCTTGTTCTGCAGAGCACATTCCTAGATAACTCGGTATCAGTGGAGCATGCTAGAGAATATGGACACGTTCATCTGTCTGAGGTAAACTTCATACACTAGACATCGTCTTGTATTTTGTGCATACGAAAGTTATATATTTGTTTATGATTGAAAAATAAGCCATGTTTTTATTGTTTTCATGGATGGGATTGTAGATCATTAATTATGCAGACAAGTTTGAGAATCGAGCAATTCTTTTGATTCACTTCTCAGCTCGGTATGCATTAGAGGTATGCCCTGGCAGTTTTGGTGTATGATGGTCCATTTTATAGCTCAGTAATTAAGGTCAAGTTTGCTTTCTCTCATAGAAAGTTTCCAGATCTCTATCTGGTTCAATATCTTTGCCCTCATTGGTTCAAAGATGTTTATCATTTTAATAGGCAAATTAAATGACTCTGTACGATTGGATCGAGTCAATTATAGCTTTTGTTTTAAGGGTAGTACACAAATGGTCCCTCGACTATACGACGTTATTTTATTGAGTCCCCCGACTATTAAAAGTTACAAAATGGTCTCTCGACCATAGGATGTTGCTTTGTTGAGTCCTCCTACTATTGAAAGTTACAAAATAGTCACATGACTATTCGTATGTTCCAAACTCATCATTTTCCGTTGAAAGCTTAACGGTCGTCTTTGTTGGACGTAACTTTTTGACTAGGATATGATAAAATCATATTTTCATGATGTCTACTAGCATCGTCGTTGCTTTCAAGCACTGACTCATTGGCATAATGTAAACAGAAAAACGATCTACAAAATACGGTTCAAACAGTTATGTGATCAGATATTATTGTATCCTAATGAGCATGTTAATATCCAACTCAAGACGATCATCAATTTTCTAACGGAAAACGACGAGTTTGGAACATATGAATAGTCGGGTGACTATTTTTTATCTTTTAATAGTTGATTGATTCAACAAAGTAAACATTTATAATATGGGGACTATTTTGTAACTTTTGATAGTCGGAGGTTTAACAAAACAACTTCTTATAGTTAGGGAATCATTTGTGTATATCACCCTTGTTTTAAATGGTGACCTTAGTTTGTGCTCCTAGTAGTGATTAAGAAATTTATGTCATTCAGAAAATCCAGGAAGCAGTTGCGGCACTGCCTTCACCTCTGGCCGGTCGAGTTTTTGCGCTTACGGAAGGTTTCTAAAGGGATGGGGATGAGAATAGGATTTGATCTATAAGTTTATGGTGTTGTGCAACTGATCCATAATTCTGTCATGTGGTTTAGCAGTTGGTTTGGGTTTCTTTAGAATTCTAATGATGCTATGTTTATGAAAACTTTTCTTTTTAATTTAATGGCAGTCCTGAGGTCATTTTTAGTAGAGTAAGGTCGGATAGGGAAACGATCTTTTAAACAATCATATAGTGTGTTTGGTCTGTTAGAATGGGATAAAAATTATGTAATTTTTAAATACATTGTATCTATTATTAACATAAAAAACCATCTTTAAAAACGTTTATTAAAATTTGTAATTGGACTTATTGTAATATTATAAATCACGATAAAAGTTATATTAAAATATGATTATCAAATACATGATTAATATATATAAAAAATATTTTAACATTTAGTGAATAATATGTTGATGAACATTAATAAATGAGTTACTAGATCCTTCAAGTAAGTTTAGGGATTCAAATATTGATGTTTTTGAATAAAACAAATTAGGTTGGCAGGGTCATCTTCAAATTTGTATTACCTGATATGAATTTATCGATTAATAGATCGGATATCAATCATTATATTAAAAATTATTTTTCTTCTTCCATTCTGTAGGCCTTTATAAAATCAATTTCATTTTCTCCTTTCTTTTCTAAGTTATTTTTCTTTTTTTTCTTCATTAACAACGTGCATCCTATATGCATAGTTGTTCGAATTTAGAATCTGAAAAAAGAATTAACTTTTTTAACCATTAAAATTATTTAATGAATTCTCATCTCTATCTTTTAATTGATGGTATTCTTATTTTCTTATGATATATTATTGTATCTTTTAATATTTTTATATATAATCTCATGGTAATATCTATTATATTTTTAGTCAAAATAGAATTCATACATAATTTGTTAAATATATAAAGTTTGAATTTGGATCATTTAACGAAAGTATATCACTAGAACATAAACTATCTTATAATACCTCAGATTATTAAAAAAAATACGAGTTATTTAATATCAAATAGTTGAGAATCATTTTTAAACGGATACTACTTGTACTTATTCCATATTAATAAAAAAGTATTAGCCCATTTAAGCAAAATGGTATTTATTCGATTTTATTAAAAAAATAATATGGGTGTACTACATGTGCAATCCCTTATATTTTGAATTCGTCAAATTTCGGTCATCAATTCAAAAGAAAAAAAAAAGAATAGTTTTAATCTATTACGTTAACTCTCGCAAGAAAAAGAAGATGACACAAAACACGTGAACTTTTTTTTAATTATCAACTCATATTTTTCGTTAATAAATTAACGTAACGGAGTTAAAAATTGAATGTAGTTAATTACCACAAATGGGGTTACGCAAACGAAGAGTAAATTTCACTATTCATTCACTAAACCTTTACCAAAATTTATTTTTTTTTAAGTTCAAAATTTAATTTTATAGATGATTTAACTTTACTAACTATATAAAATATTATCATTGAATTGGGAGAAGAGATTCAATTAACAAGAGCTTTCGATTCAACTATGCAAATTGAGCCCATTAAGTAACCTTAATGATAGAAATTTAATCCTAGTGATAAAAAGGAATGTTGTTCTTCCTAGAATTCCTAGGTTCAAACAATTCCGTCTACAATATGTTTATGCATTATCAATTGGTTAAGAAAGTTTTGAACAAATGTTACCTTGTAATCACTTGCTAACCGTGCATTATAGTTTTGATTAATTCTAGGAATCCATGGAGATCAAATGAGCATATAAGCTTAAAAGTTCAAACTTTTTATCTTATTAAATATATGTGTCCGACACATTCAACTACGGGTATGCAAGTATCATCCCCGGGTACATTGCCTAAAACTAATACATTATACTAGAGAAAGATCAAAATTTCTCATTTTATTCCTAAAACTGCAATGGCACTGGCAAAAGAAAACATATATGAAACCCTAAATGTTTCTTCTGAGTACGCTCCTCTCAAGTTGAGGGTGGAATTTCCCATCCCCTTGGCACGGGACCGAAATCATAAATGATTTCCCTGTGACATGACCAAACAAGCTTTATCGCTTCTGGTGTTCCGATTCCAGCTCCTCTAGGATCTCCAGCCGGTCCAAACCTAGAACCAGATAACCATTGGGATTTAGAATCTCTCTTTTTTTTGTCCTTTCATTCTTTCTTTGTTGCACACAAGTCTTCCATTTTCATCTCCTACTACCAAATATGATGCATACATGAAAATGATTTTTTGTTTTCGTTTCAACTTACCAGTGGTTTTGTGGAGCGCCAGTAGTCCTTGCTCTCAATCCAGCATAAGTCGTCCCATTCACCGTTTTCCCGATGACATCCTGCGGATTTACATTTGATGAAAATTATAAAGTGCCAAAGAATAAAGGTCAATTCGAGTCCATGTGCTAGACTTCGAAATTTCATACTTTGAACTGACTGAAAAAAGTTTTAAGTTTTACCTGCAAGAAGATGGGATCATTCGAGACAACTGCAGCTGTTAGATGTGCATGCATTCGTTCCAAAGCATCCAACACCATTGCTAATTGATCCTTCTTATAATCGGTTATAATCTACAAGCAAACATAGTAATCAATGTTTTTACCTTCGTTTCACCCTTCAAATGAAATCGTAAACAGTTATACCTGAAATGGCCCGAAGATTTCTTTGGTTACGAGCTCATAATTAGCTGGCTTTAAAATTTCTTCAAGAGGAACGTATATGGAAGTCGGCTTCATAGCACCATAAATGGTTGGAATTGAATGATTTTCCAAGGGTTCACCTCCAAAAAGTAACTTGGAGCCTGGAATTTGCAGTAATTTCTTCTTGTGCTCCAACATTGCTTCGGTTGTAACCTGCAACAGTACAGTACAATATATTTTTATCAAAATTATAATCCTATTACAAGAGTTTCAACAGCTTTTGGCAAATAATATATGATTTGATGCTAAATACGATTTTAAAGTACTTCCTACTGATTATAAGAAAATAAATACAATATATGAAGCATACTTACAGTAAGGACAGGGCCAATGGTTAAATCTTCTAGCTTCCTTCTCTCAGCAAGACCTTTTATTTTCGATATGAGTGAACTCGTAGACCAATTCTGAATATATATATATATATATACACAACTTAAAAAGTTAAAAAGCAAAGAACATTTTGTGCTACAAATAAGAATGAAGAGCTATCTTCTTTCTCTAGGTCATATGTTTTCCTAGAAGTACTCATGTCTAAGGCAATGTCCGACACATTTGAATGTGCATAGGGATATCCGACACATTCAAGTCCAAGTAACATAGGTGATAATGGAATAAATTAATGCAAATATGCCGAATGCAAGTCGCTAACCTCGTGCATGAATAATATCGATTGTGCTGAGCATTTCTGACCACTGCATTCATATGCATCCTGGTCACATACCCAAGCAACATAATCGACCTGCGATTAGAAAATAAAGAGAAACGTCCAACACTGGTCTAGACTTGGAAAAAGAATATTAAACACAGAGTTCAGAATTCGTTTCGTATGGAACCTCTTCAACATCAGGACCAAGAATTTTCCAATCAAATCCTGCATCTTCCAGTTTCACGCGACCCTTCAGGTCAACGGCTAATTTCTCTGCTACTCTTGAGCTTCCAGTAAAAAGGGTCATTCTGGGATTTGCCTGCTTAAAGGAAACTTCATAAGCTAGAGAATGATACAAATAAAAGAAAAACGTCTCATTAAATTTTCTAGAGCACAGAGAGATAACTTATACTCAAAGTAACTGACCTCCATTAGCAGTTCGTTCATGGTCTTCCCATCAGAATTTATGAAGTCCACATCTTCTGGTGGTAACCCACAATGATGAAGCAAGCGCATCATTTGCTCCATTACGATGCTTACCTGCAGAAAGAGGTTTCAAACTATTACTTACTAGTGACCATGAAAGTACCAGTCGAACCAATTAATGAAAACGAAACTGATCTTCAAGTGGTCCACCTTGCTATCAACTTTAAGAATGGGTTTGTTTCCCATATAGAGTGCTCCCATAAGTTGAAGTACAGGAATCTCGAGTGGGAAATTGAAGGGCGTAATAATAGCGACCTGTATTTAAATATCAGGGAGAGGTCTACAGACAGAATTATATGACAGCAAATTTCAAGTACAGATAACAGAATAAATCATGCCTCGACAACAATAAGTGACAAAATTACCATCCAATTCTTTCCATAAGTTGTATGAGACAAATTAACTCCACCATTATCAAACTACTGAAGTGAAAGACCTATGCAAATGTTTTGTTAAAATAAAATATGAATCATGTTATCCAATAGTTATGCCGTTACCGGAAGAGTAAATTTATTGTTATTCTACAATTTACAAAAATTCTTGTGTAAAGCTTCTTTTCTCACATAAACTCCTAGAATACAAAGATATGGAGTGCTCTAAAGCGCATCAGATACAGTTGATACCATTGATAAGTCTAGCTATGTAAACTTAATAGAGTAGGGATCATTCTATGACACATTTGTCATTTCCTCTTTTAATCATTTTATAAGTACTTGGAGGATCTAATTTCATATTACTTTTAACTAAAATAGGAGGTGAAATTTTCTTAAATTTCTGAACTTATTAAATTTTTTCTTCTTTCAGAATAAGTCAATTGCATCAATTTTTCAAATTGCTTTTAAACAGTAAGGCGTGAAAGATGCTTTTCGAATGATCAGAATCAACCATGAGTGTATGCCTTACCGGACCATAAGGCCAACGGTACCCTTGGCTTTGCTGTCCAATATGATTTCCGGGTACTGCAAAAGACCTTGCTAGAAAACGAACCTACCATAAATAAAGAATAGAAGAATAGGTTAAAGATCATAACTGAATGTCATAAATTTTTATTATAGGTATGGACTTAAGGCATATTTGAAATCTTGATATCTGTATCATTTTCGTTGAAGAAACTATATATTCATGAAGGCAACTTTATGAAGAAATGCAGAACTATATTTGTCATCTGTCATGATCACTTTCCATAGATGATTTGCCCAGTGCAATTAGAAAAGCTGAAGTAATGCGTTCATGATATACCTGATCACCAGAGAAGTTTTCAAGGAACTTTTTTCCATAGATGATTTGCCCAGTGCAATTAGAAAAGCTGAAGTAATGCGTTAATGATATACCTGATCACCAGAGAAATTTTCAAGGAACTTTTGTGTGACATAAACTTC